TTTTGAAATTCTTGACGAGTTTAGGTATCTCCGTCTTCTTCTTGCTGTTCTTCTTCTTGTTGATGTTGTTCCTTAAAAACAGCGACTTGGCGACCAATGAGGCAAACCCGTTTGCTGCGAGAGTTGCAGGTTTCGGAGGCTCCGTAGGTTTTGATGAACACTTGAATTTGATCGCCATTAGAAGGAGACAGAGAGTTGAGGGCAGAGAGCAGAGAGAGAGTGGCTGAAACTAATTTAGTTTGTTAGAGGGAAAACTAGGAAGTAAATTTATTAGGTAGGGGGCTATTTTATACAAGAATCCAGCGGGAGATTGAGTCCGATTAGGATTGGGAGTTGTTTAGAAACTAAACAGTTAGGATTAGGAGATTGAGTTCCATTAGGATTAGGATTAGGAGATGTTTTTGGAAATGATTGGTTAATTGGCGCGCGACTATTTTTGTTTGAAGAAATAGGTTTTGCATTAGGAAACACCCCAAGTTTGACCCATTTCTAGATAACCCCCAAAACTTTAGAAAATGTCACTGAACTCTCCTTTTGTCAGATAACATCAATGTACTTGGTTAGGTCTTATGCGATTAAATGACTAAAATACTCCAAAAAAGGAAGAGCACCCTCTTATGGGATTTGATACATGGGAAAAGCCCCTGACGACCGACTCTCGTCAAAACGACTCGGCCAAAGCCAGTGGCTCGGCCTTGGGCCGAGCCACCCGGGGGGGAGCCACCATTTGGTGGCTCGCACAGTTTTGAGCCGAAAACGTGTTTTCGACGGGTTTTTACGGGATTTGATCGTTTCAGAGCTTCCCAGCTGTTTTGAAGCTATCCCTAAACATGATTAAGCAGTTATTAACTACGGATAAGGTCAAATCATTAATTCTTATCCTTAAACGCTACAGCTGAAGCCTATAAATACAAGCCTAGGGTCTTCATTTAAGGGATCTGAAATCAGAAGACGAGGTGCTGTCAAATTGAAGAGTGGAGCATAAATTTCAGAGGAGGGCTAGCAGATTTTGGCGAACTTCAGCATAAAGAGGAAGCTATTCGAAGGATCTGAGGTCCGTCCCCCCTTTCCTCCGGATTAAACTTGGTTTTGGTCTCGAGAAGAGTCGTAATCTCGCTTGGTCGAGATTATCACTTCTGTGATTGTTTCCTTTGTGAAGCAAGATTATTAATTAATTTTTTTATCAACCGGATCTGATTTGTGGCTGTCCACAGACAAACACGTCTCCGGCACAGGCAAAGATCTCATGCGAAGCAGTGGGTGATAAACATCATTTGCATGTGTTTTAAAGAGATTGTATTTATTTATTTTTTATTGTGTAAGAAGATCTTATAGAAAGATCGACTTTTTTTTAATTTGTAATCGATAAACGATTGTATCAGATTCAATGACAATGAAGAAATCAACTTTCACCCCAAACATGGACCACCCGACAGTAAGTGTTAGATGTAGACTTATCTTTTATTAGGGATCAAGATAAAATCCCCCATACATGAAATGCATGGATTCTTAGTGCTATGATGTAGAATACATAAACTCGATCGTTTTCACGGGAGCAGACCACCCGATATCATGTGTTAGATATAGACTTATC